TTATTAGTCTTTTTTAACTATCTTCCTTTATATTTCCATACCATCATTTGTATGTCTTATACTCACTCAGTTCGTGCTCTTTACTTGTTCACAAAATAAATTCATGTTCTCATTCCCTTTAGTCTTGTTATTATCTAAAAACAATCACCTTTATGCCTTAAAAAATATAAACCTTAGGGCTCTGTCCAAAGTCTGGCTTTCTCTCCATGTGGGCGATACCTGGCCAGCGGAAGCTGGTGTGGGACAGTCTGCATCTGGGATCTGGCTGCTGGCACTCAACTAGGCCAGCTAGGTGGCCAGGCTGACTACCATTCTACTGGCTATCGTGGTAGGTCATCTCTCGGCTCTAGTCGGTTGGCGGACGAGACTACTGGTCTTGGAGAAGCTGACTTAACAGCTCCGAGCGTCCTTTCAGGGCCTGTAGTTAGTCTGGCCTTTTGTCCTGTGGTTCCAGGAGGGGCAGCCACCGGCTATTTAGCAGCAGGCAGTTTAGAGGGTGCCGTGCGAATCTGGGACACTGGGACCGGCCGAACCAGGACGACTCATATCGCAGACACTCAAACTTCAGTTGTGAGTATCGCTTTAATCATATACTTTAGCTTGTATTCTTTCTCCAATTTAAAAAACATTCTATCACAAATCAGAAGGCTCTAATTAACATTAGCTTGAAAGGAACTCTCAAACCGTACTATCGTTAAGTGCTAACCTTTACTATTTAGACTGTAACTGATCATCTAAAATCCCTGTACATCATTTAAATTAAAAAATTCGTAACTTGGTCGTATTGTCAGGGAGACATATAGAAGCGCATCTTGTCTATAATAATTTCCAGCATCTTCAGTGGACTTTGCACATTCGCAGACTGCTGCCATACTAAAGGCTACACCATCTTGGCCTTCACACTGATTACCTCATCTAAGCCTCCGTTACCCTCTTTTACTTAGCTCTGAGCTCCTGAAAGCAATAAAAACGTAAAAGATGTATACCTGGGGTACTTGCATTATATAGACTTTAAAATTTCTTTGACTCAAATATTCCGGGCTAGATTTTCACAGATTTATATTAAATATTGTCATGAAACCTGCATTTTTAATGCAAGTAACTGCATTTAGCCATCAATTTTGTTTGGTGCTCTGTACGATGAGTTTGATTGCTAATTCATATACAATTAGTGAACACACTGCATTCTTTATATGATAGTTTATGCTTTATTATATTTGATCCACCAACGAGAATGTATGTTCGTTACTGCCTCCCGATAAACGCCTCAATTATTAGGGTGATGAGCTGATAGCTACCATTTAACAAAATCTTTTATTCGTGTTACTTGTCTTCAGTTTTCTTTGTTCCTTAAGCGGTCATACAAAATTGGCCTCATGCTCTTCAACATAAAGTCATTTGTCTACTTTTTACCAAGCTGAGTGACGCTTATGAATTGGGGATCATCTAAATGGTAACATGTGTGCCATTATGCTATGGATACTGCAATTTATTCTGAATGATAACACCCTTCTTAAATGTGTAACATACACGTTTTATTTTGAATTAAAATCCACC